AAATTGAACTTTTATTTATAGCACTTACCAATTTCTGAGGTGGGAATACTTACACCATGGTAGACTTCAAGCTACTAACATGTTGTCACTGAATGTGAATTGGGAAGAGGTGTGCAATAGCATCTCCACCATATAAATCCAATAGATGCAAATCCCCTCAGGAGCATAGATAATAGCAAAATGTATTCAAATAACTAGGAAATGATGAGATTTGAATATTTATTGCATGAGTTTTTAGTATAATTTAGTTGCAAATGTACATTATTTAATTTTTAATAATCCCTGTTTAACAACTACCTTGCAAAATTCCTAAAAATTTCACATTAGGCTCTCATAAGGCAGTGCATGGCAACTTCTGCACATCATTGACATTAAGTTCATTGAATATGTAGCCTTCGCTGTCCTATTTGTCACTCTGAAACTAGTAAAATATGGATTTTCTTCACTAACTATGAAATTGGTGATAACTTTTGGGACAGCATCTCCTTTTCCTTTAATCCAGTGGATACTTTTTAGTTCTAATCTTTCTTGATTATCTGTGGTAAATGACATCATTGGTCTTCCTGTTGAAACTGCCTCATCACGAGTTTTTCCAGTCTCTTGTGTTCCTCTCACCTCTCTATTACTCAGGGCTACATGGAAAGCTTTCCTTTTTCCACTGAGTTCTTCGATGTTGGTATTTCTGAGAGTTCTTAATCCTCGTATCTTCTCACATTTCACGCTGCTCCTGCGAAGCCTTATCTACTCTGCTATCATTTACATACAGTCAACACCCAAATCTGTATCTCCAAACCAAAATTCTTGCCTAATCTTCTAATCTTTAGACCCACATTTGCAATTGCTCTATGATGCATTTTGACCAGAGTGTTTCACATACATTTTGAACTCAAAATGTCCATAACAAACTCGTTTATTTCCTTTGAAATTTGCTTTCCTCTTTCAACTCAATAATTTACAAGCAGCACCATTTACCAAATCACCTAGCCAAATCCCCAGATGTCATTTTTTATCCCTCTTTTTTTCATGTATTCCACATTGAAGACTCCAGTTCCTGTTGGTTTCGATGTTAATATTTCCACCAAGTATTGCTTCTTTCTATTCTCACTGCCACTGATAAAACTTGAGTCCTAATTACTTCTAACTGTTGTAATAATCTATTCCCTAACTTCGACTCATCATACACATTGATGCATCTGTAATCTTTGTAAATCACAAATCCTTTAATGGCTCCCAGTTGCCTTAGAGCAGCGGCTCTCAAACATAGCTGCACAACAGAATCAGCTGAGCAAGAATTTTGTTCAATCAAGTTTATAAATGAATAATTTACATATAATAAAATGCATGCATTTTAAGTGTATACAGTGTGTTTTTAACAAATGTATTAATATATACCTGTGTAACTACCACCACAATCAAGTTATAAAACACTTCTGTCACCTCAAAAAGTTCCTACATGTCCTACAATTGGGGAATTGAATCCTTACCCCAAAAGACAGTCAGCCCCAAGCTACCACCAGCTTTTAGTCATTAAAGGTGTTGCCTGTTCTAAAATTTCATGCAAATTGAATCAGACAATATTTACTCTTTTGCACCTGGCTTTTTTTTTTTACCCAAGATAGTATCTTTGAGATTCATTCAAGACATGTGAATCCATAATTTCTTCCTTTTTACTATTGAGTAGTATTCCATTGTATGAATTTTCGAAATTGTATCCATTCATTGGCTGATGGACATTTGGAGTGTTTCCCATTTGCAGGCTATTACGGATAAAGCTTCTATGAACATTTGGGTAGAAATACTTTATAAATGTATACTTTCATCCCTCTTGGGTCAATATTTAGGAGTAGAATTGCTGGTTCTTATGATAACGGAATACTTAACACTAGAAGAAACTGACAACCTGTTTTCCAAAATGGCTGTACCATTCTAGGACCCACTAGCAGTGTATGAGAGTTCCATGCAGAAAGCCAGGGCAACAGCTACTCGGCAGGCTGAGGTGGGAGGATTGCTCAAACTAGAGAGGTTGAGGCTGCAGTGAGTTGTGATTGCACCACTGTACTTCAGCCTGGGCAACAGAGAGAAACCCTGCCTCAAAAAATAAATAAATAAAAATAAAGAACCTGGGTAAACAGAGTCACCTTGTTAGTTTTCTCTGTTTCAGATATCAAAGACCTGTACTGCCTGTTGCTCAATGCCTTAAAACTGTTATTTTTAGTTGTTAAGAGTGTGAGGACAAGTCCAATACCAGGTATACTGTCATTGCCAGCAGCAAAATCCACTTTGTGAACATCTTAAGAAATATGATGCTTCAGTCCCACTCTGTACCAATTATTAATAAATCTGAGTACCTGGAGACGGGAGAGAAGAAGTGATCCTAAAGTACAAGAATGTTAGAGAATCACTGGTTCACAGGATTCCATCCCCAACCTAAGGTAAGATCTTTCAGAATCTGTCTCAAGCCTCCAGTCTAGATCTGTCTCCTCCCCACCATTCCATAACCATCTTTTGTCATTTCTAAGTTGCAACCATATAGTAGTTTGCTGACATGAATATAATATTTCAAATTTCAGTGCCTTTGTAAATATCTTTGCCTTTACCAAGATTCTTTCTGGTCCAATACTTCTACTGGAAGTACTTTCCTTCAAAACTCAGCTAAAACGTCTTTGGCTCTATGAGGCATTTCTTGCTAAAGAGCCAGAGATTTCTAGGGCAGAATCTGGTGCTAGAAGAGTATTAGGTGCTAAAAGAGTTTGATGCCTGGCACTGCCATTTACTACAGGGTGAAGTTAGTCTTTATCATCTGGTTTCCTCAGGTATAACAAGATAATATAACTACCTAGTAGAGGGATAAATGAAATTACACAGGGAATGCACAGCTAGGGGGAGAAAAATTTCTCCTTTACTTTCTCAGAGTCTCCAGCTGCGTCCAAGAATGAAACGGACACAAAACAAATTAACAGGGAAAAAGCATACAAATTTTATTTAATAAAACTTTACATATAAGTGGGTGTCCACACGGGAAAATGAACACCTAAAGAAGTGGCTAGGCCTAAGTGCTTATATACTGGGTTGAACAAAGAGAGGCAATCGTGGAAGAGTATCTAGGAAGATACCGGTTAGTTTAACAATATCTGTACAGATGTCTCCCCGCCTCCACTCCCCTTGTCTGGTGATGAGTATCTTTCCTCTTGGTATAGAGAGGCATCTATCACATGGTAGTTTCTTTTCCTGCTCTCAGGAAGAAAAGGTCACAGTGCTCTTCTTGCACCTGCTGTTTATCAAATGCCTGTTTTGTTTTGTTTTGTTTTTTCAAGATGGAGTCTCTCTGCGATACCCAGGTTGAAGTGCAACGGTGCATCTCTGCTCACTGCAACCTCCGCTTCCCGGGTTCAAGCGATTCTCCTGTCTCAGCGTCCCAAGTAGCTGGGACTACAGGCACGCACCACCACTCCAGGCTAATTTTTGTATTTTTAGGAAAGACAGGGTTTCACCACGTTGGCCAGGCTGGTCTGGAACTCCTGACTTCAAGTGATCCGTCTGCCTCGGCCTCCCAAAAAGCTAGGATTACAGGCGTCAGCCACCGCGCCCAGCCTCAAATGCCTTTATATATCAAAACGATCAGTATGCCAAAGCTCGGGTGGCAAGCTGTCAACTCCAGCACCTAGCATGGTGCACACAGCGGACACCAACCGAGTATACCCCCCTCACGTGGCTCACATTTCCTTTGTAACTCTCCCAGCAAAGCTCTACTGCACGCTGCATCTTACCCGTTTACATTTCTCTTTTCCCCCCTTGACTGAGTTTCATAATCACTGGGACTGTTTCTTTTTACTTTTGCATCCCTTGGGCATAAAAGTGCCTAGGAAGCGGGGCGCGGTGGCTCAAGCCTGTAATCCCAGCACTTTGGGAGGCCGAAGTGGACAGATCATGAGGTCAGGAGATCAAGACCATACTGGCCAACATGGTGAAACCCGGTCTTTACTAAAAATACAAAAATTAGCCGGGAGTGGCGGCGCACGCCTGTAGTCCCAGCTACTCGGGCGGCTGAGGCAGGAGAATTGCTTGAACCCGGGAGGTGGAGGCTGCATTGAGCCGAAATCACGCCACTGCACTCCAGTCTGGGCGACAGAGCGAGACTCTGTCTCAAAAAAAAAAAAAAAAAGTAAGTGCCTAGGATAAGAAGACCGGAGTGTAAATCAATCTCAGTTGAATGAGGAGGGCTTAATAGTCCCGAGTTCTGCTTTTTTTTTTTTTTTTTTTTTTTTTCTTTTGAGACGGAGTCTCCCACTGTCGCCAGGATGGAGTGCAGTGGCGCGATCTCCGCTCACTGCAGCCTCCGACTCCCTGGTTCAAGCGATTCTCCTGCCTCTGCCTCCCAAGTAGCTGGGACTACAGGCATGCGCCGCCACGCCCAGCTAATTTCCGTTTTTTTTTTTTGTTTTCAGTAGTGACGGGATTTCACCACGTTGGCCAGGATGGTCTCGATCTCCTGACCTCGTCCGCCTCGGCCTCCCAAAGTACTGGGATTACAGGCATGAGCCACCGCGCCCGGCAGAGTTCTGCTTTTTAACAAATTATTCCAGGCACTTTTTACGGTGTTTTTCACTCTCAATGCCAATTCACGCTGTGGTGACGATGTACCATCCAATCCTTGATACGAAAGATGAGAGAATCTGACCAAGACTAGAAGGAGAGGTTGCAATTTTTCATCAGATGAAAAATCCAGAGGATGTTTTCATTGTTGAGCTAAATGAACTTGCGAGTCTACGCTGCCCTCTAGGGCGGCCTACAGTGCCTTTAGGTGGGTAGCAGGAGCAACGCAAAACTTAATAGATGTTTCCCTGCGGAGAAATTCCCCGATCCAACTTACTTTAATGGAAAAAGGCAAACCCGACGGGTGGGTCAGCACCGGAAATGGGGGCGCGGGTTCGGGTAGCGGGGACGCGCACGCACCTTGCACGTCTCCGCCCCTCCGGCGGTTGCCAGGCAACCAGCTCCGGAAGTTGCGGGAGGTGCGTCCGCAGCGGGCGCCGCTAGCCAGCGGAAGATGGCGGAGGGCGGCGGCCCTGACCCCAGCGAGAAAGAAAGGAGGTCTTCCGGACCGCGGCCTCCGAGCGCGCGGGATTTGCAGGTGAGGCGAGCAGCTCGTGGAGGGAGCGCTGCGGTGGATGCGGGCTGGTGATGGCGCGGGCGGGTGCGAGTCGGAGGCCGCCTCTGGCCTCGGCGGAGCCTTTCCCTGACCCAGTCTGGGGATGGAATCGTGACTCCGGCGCCCGGTCTCCCGAGGTCGGCGCTTAGCACTGTGATGGTAGCGGACACAAGTGCCCGAGCCTCCAGCGCTGGTGCTTCGTCTCCCTTCCACCCCAAGTACGATGTAAAAATAGCTATTCGTTTAGAATGACATTTTGCGAGGTCAGTTGGTTGGTTCACGGGTTGATGCTTTCTTCTTGAGACTTACTCCAGAGGAAAGGTTGCTGTGGCCGCAGGGAAGTGGGCAATCACCTGAACAGTAATGATACGTGATTTGTTCTTTTTTGTCTTGGATGCTATTTCTGACTTGCTTACTTAAATATAAAAATGGTTCCATTTTATCAGGTGGCTTTTTCTTTTAAAGGGGTTAAGGAAAGCGATGCACGCTATGCCCATACAGCCTAGTTGTCTAAGCTGTGGTCTTTAAAACATTGCACACAAGAAACAGGGAAATAAAACTTCGTAATGTCGTGTAGGACACTAGTATTAGTTAGCTAAATACTAGTGCACCAAATCCCGTGTTACCAGATACTAACGCCGCTTTTCTCATTTTCGGCATTTTTGTGTCTCATTGTAAGATTATTGATAAAAATTTAACAAGTAAATATCAGTAAGGAGATACTAAGGAGAATTTTGGTAGAACAGTTTTACTGTATTACTTTACAACCACACTTCATTCTAATGTGAACAAACCACCATCCATTGTAACATACTGCTGAGCTTTGGGCATGTGGAAATAAGGACATCAAATCCTTAGTCGGTGCTGAGCTCTGTTGATGGGTATGTAAGTGTAAAAGACATTTCTACCTTTTGGAAACTACAGTTTTCTTCGGAGAAATAGGATATGAATACATTTAGCATAACATTTTAAGATGGAGTATGACTGGGTGCCAAAATAAGCAGTGCATAAAGCGAAGAATTTGGAGACTGCAGAGATCAGTGTAAGTTTAGAAGGTGAACTCAATGTAGAATAGCTCCAGCTCACATAGTTGGTTCAGTAGTAGTAAACAGTATCAAGAGTTAGGAGGCTATTGTGTACCTCATCTTTCCTATTATAAACCCACATCACTGAGAGGCAGCATAGAGTTAGTAGTCCCACCAATTTTGGTTTGCCTCTTAGTCCTGCTACTTAGTAGTTTTGTGAACTTAGGAGAAAAGTCTTAACCTGTCTGATCCTCATATGTCTTCATTTGTAAACTGAGGAGGGTCGGGGTGCTGGTGGTGGTGTAAGGATTAAATAGTGTTGTAAAGGGCCTATGCAAAATTCCTACATTATCCTGGTCAAGTTGTTGCTGGGCAAATATTTGGTTCCTTTTTCCTCAAAGGAGAAAGATGCTGTAACTTTCCCTGGCTAGTCACTTCTAATATCATTAAAGTTAATGCAGTGTGTAACTTAATGTCCTTTCCCTAATTTAAATCCATTTCTTCTTTTTATATGAAAAGTGAGAATAGCTTGGTTAATGACCACCTGATTCTTGGCAAATTATTTGCAGACTTAATCCAGTGGATCAAAGTATGATTAATGTTTGGAGATACTCTGGTAGATGTTGCTAATTGTGAGAATGCCTTCATTTCCACCCTAAGTTATGATGGGGATTTTTTTTTTTCATCTCCTGTCTACTTCTGGTAGGTTAGGACAGTAGGAAGATAACTGATTTCTTTATGAATGTGATTTGGTGTATCAAGTACAGTATCTAAGTATTGATAATCTTTCCTTTAGAACTTAATATGAATGTGAAGAACTTGCAAAGAAACTTGAAAACAGCCAAAGGGATGACATATCAAGAAATAAAGTATGTATCAAAAGTTTAAAAGAAATAATGTTCTTCCCAAATGGTATCTTGGATATTGATTATTTATAGATTATCTTGTTATGTTTAATCTAGACATGCTTATCTTAAGAGTTACCCAGTTGGTGCAGCTTTCAGTAGATATTTCTTACTTCTCTAACAGCTTGCTGTAAGAGTCTTTCAGAGTGAGTAAAGGGGCAACATATTACTAATTGGAACAAGCAGAATTACCCCTAAGTAAGTGTATCTTAGCCCCATGCAGTGTAGGGTTTCTCAGTATCTAAATCAGGAGGGAGTGTTCCAGGTACCACCAGAGAAAAGCTACATAGTTGCTTCCCAAAAGGCTTCCCAGCCTTGGGAGCCCCCAAGTTACAAACTGCAGACTTGGAACTCTTTTTTGCATATCAGAGTAGATTTTCATAGCTCCCTTCATCCACCTCAAATAAGGAAACGGTCAGTGGGAAAGTTAGGGGTGGGATTGTTAGTGGCAAAACTAAGCCCAAAACCTCATCAGTGTTCAATAGTATTTCTGAATTGCTTTCTCTTCTGGTGTCCCTCAGCCCATCCACACACAAGTTCATTAAGGTATTTAGTTGTATACTCTGTCCCAGTTTTGCTCCACATATTATGTGTTTCTGTATAGGTTGGACAGGTAGGAAGTGAGAACAGGGATAACTTCAGTATTACCAGGGTTAGGATTTGGATTTGTTAGGATGGACTCAATAGTGGGCTAACTATAAAGGCGAAGAATTAAAATGCCTGATAACTGTTGCCACAAGGACCCTAATCCTATTGAATATCATTATTCTGTATTGTTGATTCTCTAGTGTGCATCTATGACCTGGGAAGGCTTGTCAAAGATTGCTGGGCCCTACCCCAGAGTGTGATTCACTGGTTCTAGAGTAGGGTTTAAGTATATGTATTTCCTACAAGGTCCCAGGTGTCTGTATAATAATCATTTATTACGGCTTCTAGAATTGGTTACTCTAAGGCTGAGAATTCCAGTACTTTTAATGCTGTATACTTGATTTTCTTACCCAATTCCTTTGCTTTCAGGTTTCAAGTTCTTCACATTTCAAATTGTGGAGGAAAAATTATCAATATTTTACTTACATAGTTTATCCTCTGCATATTATTGAAACATTTTCTTAATAATGTCTTGAGATTTTATTGTGTTAGTTTTGACCAGTACTTCAATTAATATTTATCAATTTAAATTATCATTTCCTCTTTTGATGTAGTATCATCTGCTATGTTAAATAATATAAATTAAATTTCTTTGTAGTATTTACTAATGAACTTATGCCATATGATGCCATATGGCATCAACTGCCTCTAAATACCACTCATTTTCTAAGTTTTTAATGATGTACCATTAATAAGTAGGATCTTTCAGCCAGGTAGACTCTTCAATATCATTTTCCTCATATTCCTCTTTTGTTAATGTGTGTTCCACATTCCATGGGGTCAGAGGCATTTTTGCTTTTTTAATTTATGTCACCAAAGAAAATTGTTATTTGATTGAAAGTATTTATTTAAATCTTGTTAAAGCAAAAAACATATAGCAAATATAACCCCAATTTAAAATCAATCTGTCTATATCTATTTCTGATTCGTTTATACTATGTTCTTTATATAATTCAACGTGAATTTGTTGCCTTTTAGATACAATATTAGAAACAATTTGAGAAACTTAAAATCTACTTGGGGAAATAAAACAGCAAAAGTACACAAGTAATGACAACATAATGCTTAATATGAATGTCACTGGGGTTTCACGTGCCATGAGTATTTGAAAAAAGACATTAAGAAAATTAGAAAAGGTTTTGTGAAGGAGAGCTGAAATGGGCCTTTGAAATACAGATGACATTTTCATTGATGAGAGTAGGAGTATCATAAAAGTAATTCATACAGCTGACATAATCAACTCAGAAGGAAATCCATAAAATAGTATTACTTTAAAGAAATTTCAGGGAGGTAAAATTTCTGAAAAGTTTTGTCCCTAGTCATCATACTTTGTATGTGCATGTCTGTCTGTCTCTCCTCTGTCATTTGTTTGTTTTTTGTTTTGTGTTTTTGGAGGGGATGGGGTAATAAAGGACCATAAGGAGATACAACACTGTGGGAAGAAACAAAAATCTTGGGGAAAAGGAAATACTGATAAAATCATTGCCAAACACTTAAGAATAATATCTTCTAGTGATGGAAGAATAATATATTATTCTTCTATGATGGAAGAATACTATCTGATGGAAGATATTATTCTTCCATCACTAGAAGATATTCACAAAGCATGTGAATGTGCTTTCCATACATTATTTAATCCTTCAAATGACTCTGTGGTGATTTTTTTATAGACATTTGAAGATGTGGTAACTAAGGCTGAGAGAAATTAAATAATTTGCCCAAGATCACACAGTAAGTGCCTAAGTTAGGATTTAAATTCAGTCCTTTTAGATTACCAAACACTTTTATGATTCAGATTTCTAGCAAATCTGGTACAAATATGAATGTTACTGAATGTGAGAGGGTAGGGGGAAAAAAATTAGAAGTCTTTCATTTTGTTTTATTTGTGTATATTTTAAAAGTTGACTAAGATAATTTTTAAAGAATTAATGTTGCCCCAATGCCCTGTTCTTCTTGGACGTAGTTTTAATATCATTTATGTGTCTAAAAGGAGCATTTTAATCTATTTTGTTTTTGTTTTGGGTTTTTTTTAAAAAACAACCCAGAGATTATGGTAATGCCCATTACAATTGAATAGCCACGGGATCATTAAGGAACGTTGTTGAGTTATCCAAAGATGTCAAAAGTCAGAAAAAATTCTATACAATACTGAAATATTTTACTACTTTTTAAAATTCCATTTCAAGAACAAATATAGTTTTATTTCATTTTGAAATAAAACTTGAATAGCTGAATGAAACTTTTATGAGATCTGATGAAAGAAGCTGACATTAGTGTGAACATCTTCAGGAATTCTTAAAAGAATTGCACATGAATTTTAGGTTTAAATTTGAAAATGGTTTGTTACCTAAAACAGATTTTGACACTGTTGAATAGTTAACTGAAAATAATCAAGTAATTATTATAACTTAAAGTTATTCTAATAGATGTGGCGTTTTGGTTAGTTCCATAAAATGAGATGCGGTAAGTTTATCTCAGAAAGGAATCATCTGAAGCAGCAGCTTTTCTCATGAAAAGCCTTTACCACTCAATTTTAAGTTAATGTTCTATACATAACTTCTAGTTGTAGTTAAGAGGTTATTCCTAGTGTTATACTTTGTAACAAGCCTGTTATTATGTAGTTGGCCTTGGCAGAATTGTATGAAGATGAAGTGAAGTGCAAATCTTCCAAGTCTAACAGACCTAAAGCTGCAGTCTTCAAGAGCCCACGGACACCACCTCAACGGTAAGTTTTATTTTGTTTTGTTGTAAAAAGAAATTACAATTCTTTCTAAAATTTTACTAACTTCAAATTGTTTTAAATGGCCTTTTTCAAGGTTTCTTCAGTAATTTTTAAAAATTATTCCAAGGGCAAGGCAGATTTGGATAAAAAAGAAAAGATTAATATCATTTAGGTACTGTTTTAAGAACTTTTACAATCAGAAAGCTAAAAGAAACTTATGGAAAAATTACCTTAAAATACCTAATATTTTGGTACGTATCATATGAAATTATATCCTGAATACTGTTTTTGTTGGGCACAGTGGTTCTTTAATATTTTTTGAGTTGTAGGACTCACTAAGGGTCTGATGAAAGCTGTAGAATTCTCCTCTCAAAACAACTTTCATGTGCAAGTTTGTCATTCATTTTTAAGAGTTTGTGTGTTTCTTGAAGCCACTTGAAGCCACTCCATGGAGCCTCTGCAGGTCTTTTGTCCTCCATTTAAGAATCTATGATTTTTGAAGTCTGTCTTTTCCTCCTTTGGGTGATGATTCCTCCAGTGTGTGACATCCTAAATAGTATTTGTTGTTATTAAAATCCCTGAAGTATAAAAACAGCCAACTATGAAGATTTAAGAGATGAGAATCAGGTGTATTTTATTGCTGTGAGTTTTCTTGTTGCCAGGAATATTTTCATTTACATCTTTTTAGTACTGTAAGTATCATCCCTGGGGAAGAAATGTCAGTTTTCCCATTATATTTTATTCTCAGAAAGTCCATTTTATAAGTTTTCAATTCATCAAAAATCAAGACTGGTAATTACTGTGTTTACTTCACCTGTATTCATCAAGTTGTTAAAATGTTACATTGAACTTGTGTACACATGTATTCTCTCTCTTTTTTACTCAACTATTTGAAAGGAAATTGTAGCCATCATGACACTTTACCTCTAGATACTTCAGCATGCGGCTCCTAAGAAGAAGCACACACTTAAAAAATTGATAACACAGTACACCTTACAAAATTAATAATAATCGAGATGGGGAGTGTTGACTTATGCCTGTAATCCCAGCACTTTGGGAGGCCAAGGTGAGCAGATCACTTGAGGTCAGGAGTTCAAGACCAGCCTGGCCAACATGGCAAAACCCCATCTCTCCTAAAAATACAGAAATTAGCTGGGCATGGTGATGTGGGCCTATAATTCCAGCTACTCGGGAGGCTGAGGCAAAGGAATCACCTGAACTTGGGAGGCAGAAGTTGCAGAGAGCTGAGATGGTGCCACTTCACTCCTGCCTCAATGATGGAGGAGGACTCTGTCTCAAAAAAAAAAAAAAAAATGAATAGTAATTCTATGATGCCATTTAATGTATAGTCTGTAGTCACATATCTCTTACAGCTTTTTCTTTGGATTTAGGATTCAACCAAGGACATTGCATTGCATTTAATTATTCCTGTTTTGAATTTCTGAATACAGAGAATTCCCCCCACCTTTTTATTGTTGTTTTTAGCTCAGCTGCATAATCTAAAATTTATTATGTTGACTTTTTTAGAGAGTCTAGGCCAGATGTCTTATAAAATTTCTAACATTCTAGATCACTGTTTCCTCATGATTCGATTTTTATTAGAGTTTCTGTCAAGGATGCTAGATAAGTGATATTGTCTGCTATTTATTACATGACAACAGGGGTCATAATTTCAGGATTTTCCACCATTAGTGATATGTTCATTTGGTCAAGGTGCTGACCACCACAGCACTCCATTGTAGAATACTGTTTGTCCTTTGTAATCAGCAGGTTGGTATCTTGACACTGTTTGAACATCCTATTCTTTAATTCTTTATACATACAAAATACTGTGTTTTTAGCTGCTGCTTTAATTTGTATGTTTTCCCAAGTCTTGAAAGTACTTAATATGTATCTGTGTACTTACATTTTACTCACCATTTGGCCACTGTTTCCCCCGTTTGAACATAAATTGGATTAATTAATATTCAAGTTCTTATAAGATTGCTGCATTAATATTTTCCTTGCTATTCAAATATAATCACTAAGATATTTCAGTGAAGGGTTTTCTTTTATGCTGTCTGAAACAATGTCATCATTAATAGGTATAATTCAGTAATCCAGTTTTTAAGGATTTTGTGCCTCACATTTGATCTCTAGGATAATTTATCTATCGAAAGAACTGAGCTTCCTTAAAATATACAGGTTGAGACGTAAACTGTGTTGAATCTGTTTATAATACAATGTATAGCAAATTGTTCGCAATCTTTTTTTCTAAGTATGATTTTTTCTAATGCTAAGTGTACACTTCCTTTGATTTCATATTCAATATCGAAATTTTCCCAGTTTCATTGTATTTCTACGAATCTGTTTGGTATAGAAAACAGTGCTTGTTTTCATGGTCCACCTCCTTTGGTCTATATTTGAAATCAAAACAGTTATTGTCTCATTGTCACTTTAAGCCAAGATAGTTTCATTATCTGAAACTCTGGACATAAGATGGTCTGTGTTTTTAATTCACAGGAGGAGTTATGTAATCTACAGAAAGACCCTTAGGATACAGTCTGATGCTTGTTTTGACATATTCATTCATGAAAAGTTACATATCACAATCAGAACTTAGATATGTCCTCTACAAGTCATTATATAGTAGTATCGCTTTGAGAATTAAATGAAATAAAGTGGATAAGATGCCTAGCACAGAGTTGATACTTAGCTGGGCCTTAAGAGGATTTAAGATATTAGGAGTTAGATAAGCACAGAAGACAAGGGACAAAAATTCCAGGAACAGAGAGTCACATAGTCAGAATGACCAGAGGAGCCAGAAAAGGAACCAGCAGAACTTTAGTAGCAAATAAGGTTGGATAGATGGGGGTGCAGCCAGGAAGGCTTTCATAGGCACGTGACCTGTGCTATTGCACAAGGCCCCATGCTTAGAAGGGCCCTGTGCTTGGAGTAATGCTTTGCTGTTACTGTTTTGAAATTCTTAATTGGTTTTGAACAAGGGGACTCGCATTTTCACTTTGCACTGGGTGCCACAAATTATGTAGCCAGTTCTGGATACAACCTTGAAGACCAAGAAGATAAGTTGCAGCTGTGTAGAAGGCAGTGGAAAGTCAGTTCCTCTTTTAATAAAAATTTAATGACAAAACTATAGTACAGTGTGTTAAAAGCTTTGACTCGAGATAGACATATCTCAGTTGTAATTTTTTTGTTTTCATATAAGAAAATGGTTTTATTCCTAATTTTTAGTTCCCATACAGTTTACAAATACACTTTTACTCTACTAGCAAAGCAGTTGCTCTAACACCCATAAATACAGGTGGGGAGACAATTAACATCCACTAATGTTTCTCTACATAAAGTATTCTTTTAATGTCATTTTTTAAAAAGCAGTTGCAAATAGGCTACATAATATATGTGGGCAAAAAGGCAATTAAGTGAATCTCTTGAAACATTAAATGTATAATAAACAGCATATTATCAACATTTACATGATTCACATCAAAATGATAACATCCTAAAACGTATTCCTTTTAAAGGATAGATTTATCAATAAAATATTACGTATCTTTTACTCTGGTACAGTACTTCATATACTGCAGGAAAATTAATTGTAGGTCTAGTCATCAGCTTAATCAGGGATTCTTTTCCCATTAGCTTTTATTAATAAAAGAATCACAATTAGGTCATAAACAGGCAAATTATTAATTACATGATTTGAGGCTTAGGATAAAAACTGTCAAAATTAGTTTGATATACAGCAAAGTTACACGACCCACTAAAACCAACTGTTCATTAGTTTTTGCCTCGTGTGAACTGCCTGTAGTGAAAAAGGAACAAATTTTTAATGATGAAAGATACAATAAACTATATTTTGGAACTTTTTAAGAGGAAGAAGGAAAAAATATTTCAACAAAATTAAGGGCAAATACAGATCCTAACAAAGGCATTCTGACATCAGGGAGGCCATGTGCTTGCTATATGTAAAACTTGATTCCCCCAACAACATACAGAAAATAAAAACTGCACTGGCTTTGTAGTTATGTCTACAGTCTATGTTTCCCTTATAGATACTAAGCTACAACAAAACACTTTACAGTTGCAAACCTTTCCACATCCCCCTGTACTAAAAATAACTCAAGAAATTATTAGTTCTTAAAATCCCCAATAAAATAATCTCTAAAAACTGTCTTGACCATTTTCATGACTGTTTCCCCGAAGCAACTGGGCTCTTTAAAGAGTGCACACACACCAAGAAAGTCCTATACGTTTTCTCATCCCCATTTAGCCACATTTGAAAAGACCTTGATTTCAGTGGGAGAGATGACTGTAAGTTTCAGGAGGGCCACGCACTAGACATGAAGCGCCTTTTTGTTTAGTTTTTTGTTTTTTTTTTAAGTTATTAAGACTGTGAAATGCCTTTTTTTTAAACCCCAATACCTTGTGGCAGATAACTCTTTTACCCCAAAATATAAAATCCTATGCTTATAATTTAAAAATCCTCAGTGAGCTCTGGAATATTGTGGATATTTAATACCTACCAGCTACCTAGAAGTAGACGGCATCCATGTATCTGTCACACCAACTTTCGAAATAACCTGATTCACCCATCACTGACTGCTCTGGCCCTGAGCTCTCTTGACTTCTTCAGAAACCACCTCTTTGGAACTTGAATATCCACAACTTTTTTTTAAACCTGCACCTTGAGCTTTCTCCATCATCCCAGCCTCTCTGCCTGATTCCATCCCATGTAAAGTAACCTCATCTGAGAACTTGCAATCACCTTTTACCAAACACATGATTAGCCTTAGCAACCTAGGGACTATGATAACTCTGGCCTTGGCCTGAGTTTACATAAGAACATGATAGTTTGCTGACCTCGTGGAGGGAAATCTAAATGAAATCAATATAACAAACAAAGCTGGCCAAGATCAGTATTTCCATTATGAGTATAAAAGCAACTGATCTTAAGCAGCAGGCAGAGATGTTAATGCAGGAGATATATTTGTACAATCAAACTC